CTGTCAGCCTTCTGGGGGCTCTGCTCTGTGTCCATTAATGCTTAGATCCTGATAACCAAGATGAACATTAATAAGTCCTGCCTACCAACCTCCCCTACCCTGCTGTCACGGATGCCATTCAGCAAGTTTGAATGTCACCAGAGCCATTCAACTTGTAAACCAGGAAATTCATGGAATTGCCACTGCCCATCCTCATTCTGCCCTCTAAGGACAGTTCAAGTACAACATGTTGATATCTTCTCTACTGACTGGTCTCTAGACTAAAAATCTGGGTTTACAGCTTTTTCTACGCATTAACCTCTGTCTTCTGTTTCCATAGAAATGCCCCTTATTAAATGCCTGATTACTCACACCCAATAGAGGTCTAGCTTGGGTGGGCAGCCTACTCCCACTTACACCACTGCCTCCTGAAATAAGATACAACTGTTTAACTAAAATTATTGGAACAGCCTGGTACAGCTGAGCCCTGCACCCAGGGGGCCTTGAGATGGCCAGCATGGCCTCCCATTCTCAGCACAAGCCATGCCTCTACTTTTCCTGCCAGAATGAGGGGTTGAACTCTGACCCATTGACACAGGACACCACCCAAGCCAGAGGGGACAATGCCTGAGCAGTGCTGTTGTCTGAGCCCTGCCCTTGGTATAGTGAGTGAGAGGGTCTGTTGGGAAGGGGGTGGAGCTGAGCAGCCATTTTGGGATCCTTTAAAACAGAGGAGGGCCATCCCCCCCAGTGTCCCTCTCCCTCCACCCCTGTAGCAACAGGCCTCTGCTGCACCTGACCAGCTCCTATAGCTGCAACTCTACTTCACACCATCAGTTGGTAACTGGACCTACTCTCTCCCCCTCTAACCTTACTCTGCTCTCCCCTGTTGGTTAAAATAACTTGTTTCCTTTTTTCTTTTGTTGCATCAAAGGTGCCTTTGTTTACATTTGTGGTGCTAGGACCCAGCACCAGTGAGAGAGGTTCTGACTTGACAATGGGTTTTAGACCCTTTGCTTGGTAGTAACAGACTGACTTATTCCTGGGACTGAGAGACTGATATAGTGAGATTGGAAAATGTGTACAAATTGATCCTTTTCTGCTTTCTCCTTCTCCCCCCAATCTGTGTCCATTTTTTTTTCTTTCCCTCTTTCTAGATCTATTTGGATCTAGGATTTATTTGTAAATCCTAACCCCAATCTCTCTACAGTTGCCAGCATGACTTTTGATATATAAAACTTCCTTAAAACATACAGGAAGTTTCAAAGGACGGAATGAGGGTCACCAGAATGTGCTAAAGCAAAATATGCCTCTTTGGTGTATAGATACTTTCGAGTTTAAGGCCACTGAGCAGCAGATTCAAGAAAAGATCTAAAAACAGTACATGTTTCCCTTTGGTAAAGAAAATTTACATTTATGAAGAAAATTTCCATTTGTAAAATATGTCTCTTCCCACACCAGCAAGAAGAGAACACTTTATGTCAAACTCACAGACTTAATTCTGCATAACAAATCTTACTAAACAACCTTGTTTACCATACTTTTCCACATTGCCTTCATAACTCGCCTCCCCACCCAGAAGCTCAGACTCCTTTTCCTTTAGACTAAGGTGATATTTAAATGCACACTCTAACCACCCCTTGGAGTCAGTTATGTCTGGGTACTCCCATTTGTCAGCTGATACACAGGCCAATAAATTTCTGTTTGTTTTTCTCTTGTTTAAAAAAAGTCCGGCCTACCTCCACAGTATTTCGCCCAAAATCTGTGGCTCAGAAAACTAAGGTTAAAAAGTCTAGTTTGAAAGACGTTAGCTTTAACAATAATCTATGATCCTTTAGAAAGAAAAGAGCTGTAGATCAGTTTTGAAGAAGATGAGGAAATAGTTGAATTGTTTTTCAAAACCAAAGACAAGCAGAAGAACTAACCAGTAGCCTTCTGCCTGCACAGATGAATTACAGAGGTTTGGTCATTTCAGGAGAGTCTGGTAAGTTTGCCTAAAGGGAAGACCACCTCTTGCCTGTCCTCACCCCTTCCCACAGGCCCACTGCATTATATATTCAAATTCTGAAAAAAAAACAAAACAACAACAACAAAAAAACAACAGAGGAATACAGATTACTCTGGGACATGTTTTACATCTAGCCAGAGAACTTGAGAAACCTAAATGAGAGGGAATGATCCTTTTCGCAGACCTTTGCTTTTAGACATTGTCAGGTAAGGAGATTTGCAGGCTTGGTTCCATGTGCCCACTTTAGTAATTATTATATTGCAGGGCCTACAGATGACTGCTTTGTCAGCACTTCTGCACAGACGCTAACACGGGGATGTCTCAGTTCCCTCACAAGGCCAGCCTGTTGGTGCAAGCTCATATTTGCTCCATGAGGATACAATTCCCATGCTTTAGCACCTCTGCAAGCTCAAGCAAATCAGATTAATGACTGTGGCTCTGTCAACACACAAGTTGGAACCTGCTGGAAATAAAGCTGAGTTTTAAGAGACTATGTGCCTCTAAAAATAATGGCTCCTGTTAAAACTAGGTCCCAACAAGAGATTAAATGAGTAACCCCCTAACATGGTCTACCTACACTGGAACCACTGTAAATTATTAAATATCTCTAATGAATTTTCACAATTACAGAAGTAAAGGCTTAATAAGAAAACATTAAAGGCAAGATGATCTAAAACAAGCACTACCTGGGGATGATATGCACAAGTTAGAAGACTTAACAGAAAACTAGAATTTGAGCCATGGTACAGGAGGTAGGAGGGAAGTGTTTCTGAATCCTCTATTAAGGACATTTACCATCATCACATGAAGTCCCAGGCTACTCCCTTTCTTCTCATTCCTCCTCATCCTTTTGATTCAGTTCCATGAATTTTATGTCCAGAGAAGGAGAAAGGCCGGGATATGAGAGCCACTCCTAGATGAGAGGACCCATAGGCCCCATTTGCTTGGCCAAAGCATTTATCCAAGGCAGGGTTCATTCTGTGACTGAGGAGTGGATCCGTCAATAACTGTTTTTCCCTGGGATTCCCTTTGGAGCTAGAGAAGAGAGTTATCCTTTGCTACTGAGGGAGACAGATGTCAAGTGAGAGCTTCAGAAGGTATTGAGAGGACAAGGTCTATGATAGGAAATGATACGGCCAAGATAAAGAAGAACAGAAATAAAAGACAGAACCAAAAGTGATAAAGACGATGAGACAGAAAACAAGCAAGCAATCACAAAAGCATCTGAATGTCAGAAGCTGGCTAAGGTAGACCAGCATCCTCTCTGAGATGTCAGTCTGAATATGGCTCCATCATTTTAGACAAAATTGCTCATTTTTGCTTAGGATTCTTTCTGAGGGGTTTCTAACCCATATAGCAGAAAGGATCCCAACTAATATAATTAACAATATACTCTAAAGCACCCCCAAAGAGCAGATAACCTCTCTTTCTAAAGAACACTGAATGATATATTCAATATGTATGTTTTGTTTCCTACAGAAGCAAAGAGAAATATATTATTTTTAGTGAAGAAAAATATTATAAAACACAAATTCTTCCATGCTGGCAAGTTAGAGTTTCTTCAGTTCCCAAGGTTATTTGAAGAAAAGCAGTTTTGCTTCTCTGTTGGGCAGAAGCCAATGCATTCACTAGTGATTATGCAAAAAGCACAATTTACCAAGTCAGTGCACTGAATAGTCAAGAAAAGGAGCTGCCTAGGACAGGCCCAGAGGCCCAGAAATCATCTGCAAAGCTGCCTCTTTAAGGCACCTTAACAGAGCATGCTAAGCATTTGTGCAGGCCAGTGAGAATTTAAAAAAAAAAAAAAAAATGTCTGTCCAAACACAGGTGGTGGTTACAGTCAATGCCTCCCCTCTAAGATGAGTCCTATTCCCTATTCGCATTAGTTTTTAGACCTAAAAAGGATAGAGAAAGGCAATTGTAGAAAAGGCACATTTTAGGGACAAAACACTGGGCTTTATTATCCTTGTTGGCTAGTGGTATTAACAATTATTATTCATTTCCCACTTATATGTGCCAGGAACTACTACACTACTACTAAGCAGTTAGCTATATTATCTCATTTAGTGCTTATAACTTCTTCTAGGAGACAGGTAATATCATCCCATTTTAAAGAGAAGAAACTAAAATTCAGGAGGGTAAATGATTTGCCAAAATCCCTCAACTAGTAAGTGGTTTTGCCAGGTTCTGAACCCAAGTAACAGGATAATGAATTTAACCATCATGACATACTGCTTCCCAACTTTATCCATTGTTTCTCTCTAGTAAGACCACTCTCTTATTCCTGCACTCTAAAGGCATTTTATTCATTGGTTGTATTACTGGGCTGAGAAAAAGGAGACTAATGGTTCAGTTATCTCTGACCGTGAAGACCTGGCACTTGTTTGTAACACTTTTAAACAATACCTTCCAAGGTGACAGATAATCTGGTATGCAACCCTTAGTTTTACAGTTTTCTCTCCTGAAAGGTTTCATAAGTCTGAGATCCAAGTGATGTCCTGACTGCTGAATCCCAATGATATGCCCATAAGATGCTATCCACCATAGACAACACAATTCTCTCTCCCAGGAGCTCAGGCCCTCAGAGGTGGCATATCACATGAGGACACAGCTTCTATATGCAAATATGGATCATGATTAGTACAACTGGAGCCATCATGGAAGACAGTCAGATGCTAAGCTACTTGACCTGTTCCTCTTAAATGCTCGGACAGTCACCTCCCCTTGACGGAAGCAACCATATTGCACAGGTTTGTACCACAAGTCCTGGACTCTGCATCCAGCACATCAGGAATGTCTGAGTGCCAATGTCAAACTCTCTAGGAGTCAGCAAAGAGCAGTGTAGACAACTGAAGCAAAGGGTTTTCTTTAGCAATCTCAATTGCAAATGGGACTAATGAAACCCCCCAATTCACACCCTTCTCCCAGCTACTTGCCCTTGAGTTAAATGAGGACTTCACCCAGATCTCAGAGGTCAAGGGCATTGCTTGTGATTTGGGGGGTCAGCACTTACATGCCTGAACAGTTTGCCCTTGCAGAACTTGAAGGGCTCTGATGAAGGAAGAGAATGATGGTGGTGGTCGTGGTGATGATGATGAGATGATGGTGATGTGATGATGAAGAAAGAAGAAAACAGTATTGATGACTGTCACCTATGAAGAGAAGCACAAAGTGGCAACAGAAATCCCGCTGGTCAGGGCCAAGCATAATCAGGAAGCAGCTTCCTTTCCCAAACCAGCCCCGCTGAGCTGTGGCCCCTCTGAATTAAACACATCCAGCTTCCCAGTAGCGCGCTGCACCGCCCTGTCCCCCACCCGCCCTCCACCCTTCCTGGGCCAAGCTGGGCAGGAGCCTGCACCGGCAGGTGACGAGGGCTGAGAGTTAACGACGGTTCTGTGGTGAGGAGCGTTAGGGTGACGGGGATACTCCGCCCGGGCACCTGGAGCCGCCGGGTAGAGGAGCGGGCACAGACGCACAAGGAGGGGGACAGGGCAGCAGCGGGGTGAAGCAGGTTTCACGCCTCTTTCCGAGACCCCTGAAGCCCCCGGAGGCGGAGCAGGCAGCCTTTGGTCGGTCGGGAAGGAGAGGAGACGGAGCAGACGGCCAGCGGGACAGACAAGGCTCTCTTTACCTGACCAGGTGCAGCAGCCTTAGCGGCGCGGGGAGGATGCTGCGCTGGGGTCCAGCGCCAGAGCCCAAAGCTGCCGCGGCGCGGGCCTCAGCCTAGGCCCCGCCCCAGCCCCTCCTCCAGCCCCGCCCCTAACCCGGGGCCCGCCCCCGTAGCACGCGCCTGCCGGACTGGCTGTTTAGGGGAGGAGAGATGTGGACTGATGGGCAGGGCTGCCAACCAATGGAAACGCACAGCGGCGCCCGGGGCGGACGGTCGGGGGGGCGGGGCGGGAGGCGACGGCTTCCAATCAGCAGCGGTGGCGCCGAGCCAGCCCGGGCGCGACGAGTTTATTGGGCGACGCACGTCCCGGCGGCGGAGACTGAGGCGGGCCGCGGGGCCGACAGCCAGTGCCCGGCGGCGCGACCCCGTTTTGCCAGCCCCTCGGCTCCCCTCAGAGCGCACGCCCTGACCAGTGCCCAGCGGCGCCAGAAGGTGGCTGGTGCGTGGCTTCCACTGCCCCGCGGCGCCGCCACAGCCTGCGTCAGCGCCCCCACCCCTCCCCCTCCCCCCGCGGGGCACCCCCCCAGGCGGGTCACTGTTGGCAGCCCAGGCTAAAAGGGCAGAAGAGGAAAATTCAAGTAGTGTCACAGGAAACCCTAACCCTATGTTAGTCTTCCCCTCGCATGCAGTTCTGCCCCACGTAGCGCTTCAGCCTGAGCTGATGGTGTGGGGGCAGGCTGGGCACAGGGCAGGTGCCCTATGATTGAGCACACAGGTAAAGGAGAGTCCTGGAGCCCTCGTGGCCTTTGCAGGCTTTTATTGGGATTTATCAGGTGCACAGCTGGCAAGGGGCGCCAGGGAGCCGGGAGGCTGGCAGGCCTCCCAGCCCCCAGCAAGTCTTCACTCTTTCTGGGCTCTCCAGCCTTCTCTGGTGGGCTCTGCTCTCCTGGGGTTCCCCTGACGCTGCCCTTATAAGCCCAGTCTCTCAGCACAGGTGTATCCCCACTTACCCAGCCCACACCCTTCTCCAGGTGCCTGCCCTCAGGCATGCATTCAGGACCTCAAGGATCCATCATCCATCCTAACGGCGGGAGGGCAGAAAAGCCTGATACTTTTTCACTTACCCTCTAGATGGCAAGTAAATTGGTTTTGTTACAGGGCAACCTGGCTATAAAACGGGTTGCCTATGGGTCCTCACCCAAGCACTTAAAAGGGACTCATTGTAGGCTCACACAAAAGGTTAACAAAGGTTTATTTACAAGGGAAATGAGGAAATGTACAACTCAGGGAGAAAAGAGGAGATAAATTCTTAAATGTGTCCTACCTGTTATGCCCACCTGGAACCCCAAATGATCCCCAAGACTAGGCCAAACCTGCCTGGCCAAAAGCATGAGCCAAGTGCCCAGACCCCACTCCATAGCTGGTTTTATTTACAAACAGAGAAAATGGCTGCTTAACTCCGCCCTTAGGTCCTCGCAAAAAGGGATCGTGGGATTTGTAGTTCCCAGTGTCTTGATGGAGTGGGGGTGGCATCCACAAAGCCTGTATGGAGTTTGCTCAGGACATCCTTTCTCCCTGACAATTGGACTACTTGGAGATTAAAGCTAAATAGATTGGGGCAAAAAAATGAGTTAAGGACTATCCAGAAAAGGGAGACCCAATCTGGATGTCAAGAAGCCTGGGCCTCACAATGGAGCGCGCCCACCTGCTGGGGACCTCAGAGTTCCAGACCTCCTAGCCACTTTTCCATGCTGATGAATCAGTGTACACCTTGATGCTAAGGTAACTGTTTTGCCCTCGAAATAAATGTCTGATCATTACTGTAATGAACAGTCTTCACACTTTTCATAGGAGAATTTGAGGTCTAATAATACTTGGTCATGATAGGGTGATATTTTGATCTGTTCCAAGTAAACCGGCCAGAAAAAGCATTGCCTTTAATCTGCTCCTTGATAAGTGCAAAAGTTATCATCCATCTGGTACCTAGGAAAGACTTTTATCTGGACATATTCTGTTTTTAAATAACAAAAAAAAAATGTGGAAAACAAGGGAAGATATTTTGAAGTGGTTTTTCCCTCTATTTTTTTTTCTAGAAATTATAGCTTATGAGAACTCTGATTTATCCTTACTCGTAATTTTAACCAAACACGGATGCATAGTTTTCTCCTTCAATCCCCACATCTACCTTGTTATATAAATTCCTCCTCATAGATAAGAAAACTGAGGCTCAAAGAGGTCAAGTATTTGTCCCAGCATCATCACATAATCAGCTAGGAGTTGACTCACTAGTAGGTTAATACTTCTGGTTAAAGTCTGGGATATCAATTAGAAGAAGAACAAGAAGAATTAACACAACTTTCATTTCTTTGAAGCATATTTCTTACCTGAAAAACTATCCTAGACATATCCAGTCCCCACATTGCTGACTTCTTGAAACTGCGGCTTCAGACACACTTCCAAAAGTGAAATGTCACCTTTGAAAAGTGTTGAGCAATTGAAAGTCAACTTTGCTTATAGAAGGGAGCTGTGATTTGCTATTGATGAGACAGAATGAAATTTTTTCCAGGACTCCAATCTAACTAGATTTTAATTCAGGTAGGGATCTTTCAAAGTAAACCAAAAAAATAATATCTTGACCCTATAAGCTAAGTTATAGAAATGAAAGAGAGCATAATATCCCAAAGACTTCTTCTAGTATTGTTTTTCTCTTTGAAGAGATTCATGAATCCTACTTTAACTTTTAATCAAAACCAGAAATATGTACTTGCTCTAAGTGTGGGATGAAGGAATACATTGGAGGAAGGTGGGGTAGATTTTTGGGTGACATTTCCAAAAAATCTACCTATAAAGATAGAATATAAATAAGGGTTATAGAGCAATACAAAAATATACACTAATTAACAGGTTAGTGGTGGAAACATTTAGGGTTGTCTTTGGTCTTGTTTAACAGTCACTCAGTACCTACCATGTTAGGTGCTATACCAGGTTCTGGGAATATTTGTGTTAATAAAACCAATTACCTGATCTTGATGAAGCACAACCTAAATGAGGACATACAACCTGGATCACCTTATAAACATAATGCTATTCTTTATAACCACTCCACAGAGTCGATATGGTTCCCATTTCATAGATGAGGGAGCTGAGAGTAGAGAAAACAATAATTTACTTCAGATTGTAGTTGAGGAAAAGTCTTAATTCCAAGTCCTTCTGACCATAAGCCCATATTTTTACAGGACACTATGCTGTCTTCCTACGGGAAGAAGCTATTTCTGATAATCTCCACAGTAATGCATGTCTCTCTGACATATATGAAATTTATGATGCAATGAATATAAATTTTAACATACTGAATTTACTCAATGTGGTTATCAAAATGCTCTTCTTTCTAAGTGGAACCAAGAAAATAAAACTGATGTTTCCTGCCTCCTTGGGGTTTCATGTAGTGTTTACTTGTCTTCATTTTAACCCCCTAGTGGTGGATAGAAGGATTTCCTGTAATTCCCCATTCACTCCCAGACTTCTTTACCTCTTAGTCTACTTCTACTAATAGAGAGGATGATATTTGATCACTCCAATGTGTGGTCAGAAAGCTAGTGAGATTGACCTCAGTGGAAACTTGTTGGAAATGCAGAGTCTTTGGTGCAACCCCAAACTACTGAATCAGAATCTGTATTTTGATGAAATATCCCAGGTGATTCATATGCACTAAAGTTTCAGAAAGACTTTAGCCTGTGTGAAATGCATTTAATAACTCCAGCAGTTTGCTGTCCAAAATGACTCACTCCTGAGTGGGGAGTGAAGAGAAGGAGAGGCAGGGAGGAGAATATCTACAGTGCACATACATCCTCATACTGCTACTGTCATCTCCAATACCAAGAAACATTACTGCCCACAGATCATTAATTCTTACCTTCTCTCAAAAGAGTAAACCACCCCTTTCCTAAAAAAAGGGGAGACAGAGAAACATAAGCTAGCTTCTGGATTCAGATGGACCCTATTCTGTACCTAAAACTTCCTAGACCTGCTATTGTTCCTTTCTACAGTGAATGAGAGTCACATATCATAGTTCAGCTGCTGCATGCTTCCTTTCAAAGAATGAGAAAAACAGGTCCTTCCACCATTAAGCTCGAACCACACGGCACTCCCTCCCTGAAGCCTTCCTCACCCCCTGTCAGAGATTATATTCCACCTCTGTGTTTCTGCAGCATGTTGTTTGTACTTATCTTGTCCCTTATCAAGGGCTTCAGACATATTTAACCCCCCCACCCCCGCCACCACAATGCCTTGTATGTAATTGGTGATCTTTTTTTTTTTTAATTGAATCTCTGTCCTTCTCAGAGGTGGGTATCTTCCATGTATGATCCAGAAGATCAGAAAACAGGTGTTCAAAAAGCAGAGAAACCACAGAGAAGAGAACACAAACAATATGGCGGTTCCATTTGGAAGGACTCCAGTCCAGGTAGGAAAAAGAGACAATGTTCCAGGTGGCATCATCTATGATCTCAGAGTCCCACCTTCCACATTACGTGGCCAGTTAGGAACAGGGAGGTTCTTTTACCAAGAGGAGATGTCAGGGAACATGGCTCTGTAGAATCTGTCTGAAGGCATCGAGGAGACACTAGCTGGAGTGAAAATGGGGACCAGATACCCAGTGAATTCTGAGAGATGTGAAGGTAACATATAGAAAGAGCACCCCAGCAACTGGGCTTTGCCCTCACACAGAGGACTCTGTTCTGACAGGATATGATAGCCACCATTTCATTATGCTAACTAGTTAGGTAACCCAAATCACCATAACCAATCTGGGCCTGACAGGGCGTGATAGAATTATCCCAGAGCCTGCCACACAACCACTAATGTTAATGTTCTTCTTTATCCCAAATGTATACATGCCACATTCTCCAGAATAGATTTTGCATTTAATTCAAACGCAAGACAAACAATCTATGAGAGAGAAAGCTTGTCTATGGGAAACATTAAACAGGAAACCAATGATCACATCCCTCTGAAATGTAGGACATTGGGTGCAAACCTAATCTCCAAGATGTTTCCACCTCATTTGCCCTCAGCTGTGTAATCAGCCTTTCATCTCAAT